GCATATGATCTAGTTTTCAGGCAGGCTAAGCATCTTAAGGCTAATTTCCAATTAGCTTTAAGTACAGTCGTAAGTATTTAGCATATCTAAAAGTGATGCTTACCTGAAGTTTCAAACTTTGCCTGTTCCAGTTGGCACACTTTAGCTTTCTCCAAAGTTCATTTGACATCTTTTTCTCAGAATTAACAAGCACAACCCAGAGTCAATTTTTACATGTCAAGTTATGGTTACTCGAGTACTCTCAGAGAAATCTGAACTCTAAAAGATGTTGGTAATGATCTCAATAGTATCAACATTCTGCAATATTGCTACTTTCTTTACATTAATATACTACATGCAATTTCTCATGTAGCTGATAAAAAGCATTTTAATTTTCTGCCATTGGAGAAAGAAATGATAAAACAGAAGAAATAATTTTATTATGAATAAAAAGGACTCTCAGAAATGAGCTCAGTCACTTATCCTAATTGTCACTCCCAGTCCTTGCCTGTTCGTTACATACTGGTAGCCTAGTAAATACCCTCTTCCACAATCTCAACATTGAATCAAATTCCCTGTAATCAGGACCACATGTTTTGGCAGAGATTTAACAAGATAAATGCACAGTGCTGTTATTGAGGCTATTCTGAAGTTTTATAAATTAATGCTTTCCTGGTAGCTAGAAAATGCAGAATATATATACAGCAAGCACATCACTAAATATTTGATCAGAGATTGGCAATCACTTCAAGTGTTTCATCATAGTGCTATGCTACAGAGTATTTCTAGTTAGGAAAATCTATGTTTTTTCACAGGCACAGTGGCAGAAAAAAAAGTTATTTGCCAGACAGATACTCTTCCCAGTCATACTCCTGTTACTGAGATCACAAACTGGTAGAATGCCATTAATGTATTCTTCCATAAGGAAAGAACTCAGCAGGTATCAAGATCAAAGTTTAATGAGAATTAAAGAATTTTTAGGTCATTTATACTGGTAACTCTTGCTTGCTTTTTTAAAATATTAAAAGAAAAAGTTGAGCGAATACACAACCGTTCACCAGATGAATTCTATGATATTCTATGCTGTTCTGTAATTAAAGATAAACTAGTCTGACCAGAGACATTCTATATCTATTCTAGTTAGACGCTTCCAACTTTCCACATTACACATGTCCAATAAATTGCTTATGTTAATAGATAATGAATAGAGCACGTTCAGAAGAACTTGTATATTTTTCAAACATATATACCAATAAACAGAATTTTTCATGCTATGGACACCCAACGTTCTGATTATATATTGTAGACCTAAAGAAACATATTGTAGACCTAAAGAACTTAATAAAATTCTCAAAATTGTCTGTTTGTAAATCTAGAATTTTCAATCTTTTAGAATCTCGCAAGGGTATTTTGCTTCCTTTTTTCCTCTTCTCAAGAGGCTTAGCCTTCAATCACAAGTTCTTTGTTTTCCATTGATGATGAGTAATGGATGAAGTCTATTAAAACCCACTCTGTACCAGTACAACATATTTTCTAAAATGCCATGCCAATTCTAAACAGAAGTAAGATGCAAAAGCACAATAAAAAACCACCTAGATTTTGTTCAAGTCGCTATAGTTAGGCCCTTAACCAAAGCAAACTGAGAGCAACATCTAACGCACTCCTCACTTCAGCAGATTTTGGATAAAGCAGTGAAATCTTATAAATTGTGAAACTTAGTTTATCTCAATATTATTCTTATTGAAAAAGAACGTGCAGAACTTCTATAGTATATATGAATTCTGCGTACTTTCCAGGCTTTCATGATGCCATTTGTATAGTCATGTACAGTCAAACTGCATGAAAAGTATTAAACTCTTCAGTAACCAAGTTTGATATCAAGTTACGAGTAAAATTAGAAATAAATTAAATTCTTCAAAGAATTAATGTTTTTAAATTCAGTTCTATTATACCTTAATGAAACGCACTTTATAACTTAAAAAAAAAATAGAATTGACATATTAGATAGCAACCTTACAAATAAATTGTTTCTAGTTTATTTCTTATTAGTAATGAAACTAACAAAACTCGAAATACAAAAGCAAGTTTAGTAATAAAAAAAAGGATTATTTCTTCCCATTCAACCAAAGAGAATGCAACTGAAAAAGCAAGTAATAAAGCTAAAATTGTTGATAAAAATGCAACTATTTGCAATACACAGAAATTCTCCATGACCCTTTGCCAAACAGATACGTGTTTGTGTACTTTTCTTCCATTTCTTCTTATATTTTTTCTGGCCATTTAACCACCCAGGACCTCCAAACTGGCAGGTTTTTGTTTTGTTGGGGTTTTTGTTTTGGGGTTTTTTGGGGGTGGGTGGGGGGTGGTTTTTTCTTTTTGGAAATAGAAAAATAGAATTGCCTCCCTATGCAGTAATAATGTTGCTATTGAACCTAAGAATCTTTAGTAGTATACAAAGACAGTTTTCCTCCCATTCCTTCATCTATCACAGCAGCTCCTCTTTACTAAAGAGCTGCCTGTAGCTAAACTCTCTGCTCATCCACAAACAGCTGCAAGAATTGTTTTGTTTCTACTTCTCACTAACCAATCAAATGAGAATAAAAACTTGTGTGAGCAACAGACCAGCAGTAAACACACCTGAGCAAGCCATAGTTTGTTTACTTCTTGTTCACAACTTAGATAAGATTTTTAGAGTGCTTTTTTTGCAGTAAGTCTCCCACTGCAACAATTCATGCCCACAGTTTGATAATTAGAAATTATGTTAACTTTTCACCTAAATATGAAAGAAACATGGAACTGTGTTCACTGCATCCACATAAGCCTTCCTCAGTATCAGGAAATGGTAAGATCAACTATTGTGTCATATTCCTCCTCTCCTGTCTTTCACATAAAAGCAGGTATCTGTAACATTAAAAAGACACAAAATGCTGTCCAGACAGTACCATGTCATCTCTCACTATCATTAACAAGTGTGCCAAGCCTAAACAGTCAGAAATGCACTTAAAAATTAAAAGCATATTCACTGGGTGCCTTCATTTCAATCTGCACTGCAGATATAACAAAAAAAAAAAAGTGAGAGAATATACAAATTCGAATGTTATATTCTTGCAAACGCAAAAGACCTCACTGTTCAGATACCAAATACTTTTCTGGAATTGTCTTATTCTATACTTATCCAGAAGTTAGCCAGAAACTCAAAATTACTATGCAACTTCAGGGAAAGGGGAAAAAAAAACCCACAGAAAAACACAAAGAAGAAAATTCTGGGGTACATCACATTCCAGCCTTTGCTTGATCAACAGTCTAGATGCAAAAATGCTTGAGGCCAGACTGAACTTTTAAAACTCAAAGCTTTATAAATAGTACATGATAAGTACCCCTTTGCTGCTCATCCACACAGGCAGCAACATTCATTCCAGAGAAAAGCACTACCAAATAAAGGGCACCTGAACAGCAGTGGGGACAAGGATAAAGTGCATAGGGGCCCAGCTGGTCTCCTAGATCCTGACAGTGGAAAAGGCTTGTGTAGAAGCAGGTGGATCCTGTGGATCAATACCTTGCACAGTACGTGCCAACTGACAGATATGGCTTTTACGATCATGGGACTGTCTCTAAGGATCAAGGACTGCTGGGAGAGATTAAATCCACCTGACAGAGTGGGACGAGATCATCTTTGCCAACAGGCTGACCAACCTGGTGAGGAAATGGTAGATGGGGTGGAAAGCAAATGGTGCATGGTGATAGGAACAAGAGAAACCTAAGACATGACAAAGCAGGATGAAAAGAATAAAACAGAGCAACCCAGGACACAAGCAGGAGAAACCAGAGCTCCTCTAGTGATCATAGACTGCAACATCATTAAAGTAACAGAGATGTGGTGGGGTGGGATATTGATGCTTCTAAGAATTTCTGTGTTACCAGACCGGTGTATGGGTTTGAGAATGTGTAGCCAGTGACAGCAGAGTGGAGGAATGTGTGAGCCAGAAAGAAAGAAAGAAAAAAAAAAAAACAAACAAAAAAAAAACAAAAACAAAAAAAAAACCACACCACACACTTGTCAACAAGTTGGGTTTTCCACAAACACTTGTGCACCTGAATTTGATTGATTATTCAATGCTTTTTAATAAATAACTAACTGCTCAGTATTGCCACCAGATTTTCTTTCCATGAGCTAAAGTCTTATTTTTCATTGTCTTTTACTGGCTGAAAGATAGGTGTTTTCCTGTTTTTTTCAACCATCTGCCAACATTTCATAAATTATTCAAAATTCTACAAAAAAAATCATCAAAGTGAGAGGAATGTTAAAAAGCTTCTGAAATCTTGTTCAGAGCTAAGTACATGTGGCTGAAACAGAAGTAGAAAAAATTTTCAGCTGCTAATAGTCCGCAAATAAAGAAATACAAACAGCCTGGGACAGCACATTAAAAAGTATTTAAAGTTTGCCCTGCCATTCAATCCATGGAGGGTATAATTGTTATGAAACTGAGAATCCAGGAGTCAAGGAACAGTATAAGATTTCAATGCTTCAGCTACAAGGCAGGCTAGAGCACAAACCCTAAATTCCAGCCCAGCTGAAGCAGAACACACTATGAACACATCCAATAACACTTACTGAAGGCTTGTTGCACCATTCAAAATGTTTCTGAGTGAGCTACTACAGTAAACCACATATGTCTGTGTGTCAAGCAACTTTTCTGGTCATTGATATGCCCACAATTGAAATAGAATATGTACACGCATACTGAAGAAGGCATTACTGATTAATATTGAACTGTTGTACTTCCTGGTCAATGCAGTCATCTTATTAGCATGCTTTTAAAGTATTAAAATATTAAAAGCCAACCTTCAAAATATGCTATTTGGACAATCAACACAATCCTATGGACAAATATATATGAAGTTACTGTTGCTGTTCATTGATTGATCTCTAATTAAATTACACTGAGATCTTTAAGTTACTAAAATGTGCCATTTCAGTCAGAAACTTTTACACAGTATCTGTGTTAAGATGTATTGCTTACCTGATAAACATGGAATGCATTAGCAGCTTTTCCACGCAGAAAGACTGAGGGAATCCAAACATTAATAAGAGCACGATTTGATCTGAGGAAGAGAGTGAAAAAATTAAAATAGGGAATCATATTTATATATAGTAATTGCAAAGCAATTACTACCAGTGATTTAGATAATGACCAAAGTGATCAACAGAGCAACTTAACATTTCAAACGGAGTAGCAGAAAAATTGTAGTTCTGCCTGAATCCTATATACCTGCAGTGTCTAAAAGTGTTCCCCAAAATTAGCATAACTGAAAAAGAACACTGAAACAATTCCTTTTGTGGCTTCTTTGGTGTGGTTTATTTTTTTGTTGTTGTTGGGTTTGGTTTTTGCGTTTTTTCTTACAGCATGCATCTGACAACATTTGATTATACACATGAAACAAAAACTACCCATTTCACCAAACTCAACAATGATCTGGGCTGACCGACTGGGTTGTTTGTGCGTTGTTTTATAGTATTATTTGTATGCATTGATTAGGAGGTATTCTGTGAAAATGAGAAAGTCCATCACATGAATAGCATCTTGCATCTACCCAACCCAAAGCAAGAGAAAACAGTAACTTTTCGGTGCTTTGTTAGAATACCAAGACCTAGTGCACTGAAAGAGCATTCCAAGAGAATCTTCATAAATCTAAACTCCTTGCATTCAACATTATTAAAAACCATACTAGGGCATGGACTTGTGCATGTGCAGCTCTTTATACTCCTTAACACCACAGCTGAGAATTCAGTTATTGGAAATAATACAGGAAAAGCAAATTATTTGATCTGTTTGCTTATTCTTCTTTCTCATTAAAGATAGTACAAAGAGAAAAATATGCGTTTTAAGAAACTTACATTTCAAAATCTGACAAACTCTGATCTTCAGACGTTTGACTCAAATCTCCAGGGACCTAGATGTACAAAACAGAAATAATTCCCACACACTGATTATTATGCTTTCTATTAAGAAAGCATATTATAAGGAAATTACAATTCAACATTCAACTTTTTAAGTGCCAATAAAAACTATTACTAAGAAATAATGAAAGAAAAAAGAAACAATAAAAGAAAAACAATCAATCATGCAACAGGATTATGAACATATCACCCTTACAAGTTCTTAATGTTAAAATTTGCTATAGTTTTGTAAAGAAACAAATTGAGGTTTGTAAAAGCATGCAATTTTGAAAGGTATACAAAACCCAGAAAAAACATAATTATTAGGCCTTATGGGAAGAGATGAAGCATATAAAACCTAGTGATCCCCGTCTTTTACAACCAACATTCAATTAAGAGAAAGACACATGATACTTTTATTTTAGCTGTGTTCTTACAAAACATTATATAGCTACAAAGGTTCATAAAAATGGTAATGATGGGCTAACACCTGGAGAATCAAAAGAAGTAGCAGTTGTGCAAAAACAAGATTGAAAGAGCATTTAGAACTGAAAGAGTAATACCTCTTTACTTCACTTTAAAGCTAGTTAAACATAAAAAGGTATCTTCTCACCTTTAAATACCGTAAAATGTAAAGCTTAATGCAGAATAGTTAGTGTGCTTTGATGAAGGAAAACAGCTAAAAGTTGTGACCTTCCAGAGACAGCCTCTACATTAGTTAAATACTAGTTCAATGGATCTCTACAATGTATGTTGCATGTATATTACTGTTTTTCAGAATATTTGCTGCCTAAGAAGCTTAAATATATATTATTTCTTATTGTAAAGCAATATATATTTATTTATTGCAAAACAATATAAAATTTCCAAAGGGACTAAAGAAAATCTACTTCCAGATATCTTGACAGACCAGCTCAAGACCTCCCAACACAGAACAAAATAGAATTTTGCCTTCCCAAAATTAAATGGATATGGCTCAGCATAAAGTCATTCCTGAAAGAAAAAAAGAACTGTCCAGAACCGAGACAGTTCCAGGGCATATATACAGGGCATATATATGGAGTCCTGAACATGTCTGCTGCCCTTTTTCGGAGAAATGAGGTGGGAAAGGCCAGTATGACCTCTCCCTCAATTACCACCATCAGGTGTTGTCTGTTCACAGTCCAGTCCACCCTCCAGCAGCAGCACACAGCCTGGCTTTCCAGGGCTCTTGTGCCAGAGAGCAGACGTTCTTCAATCTTAACTACAACCTGCACCCTCTCTCTTTGCCGATATCTGAAGTGGCAAATCCTGCCACCAGATATATATAGTTATTTTCATTAATGTCAGTAAAATTTTTGCATTAAAAAAAACCTCAAAAACAGAGCATGGACTTTGGAAATAAGAAAAAGGATTACAGTAATGAGTTCCAGTGCTTGCACATCTATGTTGAAACAAATTGGTTACCGATTTTGAGATGGTAACTGAAGTGTTGTTCATTGTAATGCAAAACACAGTGATGGAGACATTACATCAATGTACTTCCTCATACCCTTGAAAACACATACATTTTGTTTTAATGTTCCTCTATGTTTGTTGCAGAAGTTCTGAAACCCAGTAACTAGAAATTTGCAAACATCGTTGTGAACAATTCATTTATAAATTACAGCCATTAAAATCAATTATCAGCACTAAAAGGAAAGGAGAAGACAGAGAAGAATCATGGAAGCTATTTTTATAACAAAATGTAAATTATACACTGTTTTACTAATACAATGTTAAGAATTGATATTATCAAACAAGTCAAAGGGAGATCAAATATTCACATCCTACAATTTCTGACAGTTACACATTTTACCAACTTTGAAAGTTCTAAGTCAAATCAAATAAGTAACAGACTATCAGCACAGAGTTTTGTTTACTAATATAAAATTAAAACGTATTCACTACTTAGGACAATGCAAGAATCTTTAGGACTGTGTTCAATTCACAACTTCATTCTGGACAATAGCAACTAGTAACAACTAGCATTTAGCTAGCCCTTAAAAATACAGTACCACTTCCATTTCTTGTGAAGTTTTAGGAATTAATTTTCTCTTGGTATCTGATACATTAAAAATATAGTATCAATACCAAACTACTGGATTAGGATATGGAGACACATGGTTAAAAACAAAATCTCTGAACAGGGACATAAAGCCCAAAATCTTCAAGAAAGTACAGCTATAATACACACATGATTTGTGACTAGTATTGTGTCATCTCTTAACACAATAATGTGATTATTTCCATATAAAAGGCTGAAATTATAGGTAAATTCCTGCTTCACTAATGCACAGAACTGTCATCAGCCATTTGACATAAATGTTGTGATAAAATAGGCATGAGTGCTTCCAGTGCAAACAAAAGAGTAAGAAGCAATATCATGTAATCATATGAACAAAAACTATCCAAATATGCCTTCCTTCAGAAGATGGACAACTATCAGGAACATTCTTAACTCCCTCTGTTTCCTCCCTGTCCATTTCCAAATTCTAACTTTTAACTCAAAAAGCCAAAGGGAAGCAATAGTTGGTAGAAAACAATTTTGTTGTCTGAATATATGTATTTTACATTCAATTCTGCTAAAAAGAACCAATCACCATCAAAAATACTGAGGAAGGCATTCTTGACAGATGTATTATTAGCTGTTATTTCTTATAAGCTACTATGTATTTTATTTCATCACGAGTAATGGTTTTGAGCTTATTCCAGAGTGGTATTCCACACTGTAATAAACACATACCGGCCCTCTCAAATCAATTAGTTCTTGTCTCATCTGGGACACAAGAGCTTCTTTAGCCATCAGAGCACGGTGCAGCCTCTCATTGAATTCAATCAGTTCCCCATGCATTTCAGCTACCTGAAAAACAAAGGCAACAGATAACTGTGATCTAAACTGAAAAAAAAACACACTACGTAATTTCTTACACATATATGGAATTTTATTTAAATTTTTTATTTTACCATACTCTCCAAGTAGTACATCTCATTGCTAATGCATTAGTTTCAACTGAGCATTAAGAACAGACACTATAATAATAATTTTGACTCATTCCTTGAAATGTAGGTTTTGATATTGAATTCAATAGGACAGAATACAACTCTGACCAGTTTTATTCCTATCAAAGGAGATCCTGTGGCAACTGATTCTAATAAAACACCTACTAATTTTTGTTCTGAGTTTAACTCTTTGACGAACACAGCACGCAACAGATATAAACTAATCACAATACTCTGGGAATAATGCAAAATGCAAAAACTGCATTACACTTTGTCAATAATTCATGAGTAATATATTCTGCACTCCTCCTTGGAGTATTAATAGGATTGGAGCTAGAAGTCCACTCATCCCAGGCAAAACTGTGAGGGGTTAAAGGAGCATGAATACCACAATTACACTGCGGCTCAAGTTGTTGTGCATAGATAAATAGTGTGGCCTCAAGCACGGCATCTTTGGACACAAAGCCTAGCTATGCCTGTGCTCTTTATTTTTGAGTCTTGACACTAAGAAAGGACCAATTGATGCAGGATGTTTATGGAAGTGAACTGGCCTGGATGAATGACAAGGCTGGAAAGTATATCACTTTACAGAGCAAACTATGTTTAAGTTGGTTCCTTGCCAAGAGAAGCAAGAAACAACAAAACTTAAGCCAACGTTAAAGATGATACTGAGCTCTTGAATTTTTCTAACACAGAAGTAAAGTGCAAGCCTACAGCTTAAGGGGAAAGAACTCCAAAAGGACAAGGGTTCCCAAATAGCAAAGGTCTACCACTATTTGTAGCAGTAATGTATTAATCATCAAGAGAATGTGACGGGGAAACTAGCAGAAACAGGGAGAAAGGCTAAAAGAAACTTGGTATCTGTGTTCAGCAAGACTTGTTAGCTGCTCATATCAGAACCGTTATATTATAAAATTGAATGAAAGTTTCAATTATGATGGGTGACCCATCAGTATATAATGTACCTGGCAAGGGAACCATCTTGAACTGACAAGGCCACCTATAGCCTTAGGGCAAAGAAATTTGAGCCAAAAAGGGTTTGTACAATTCTTTTCAAGGGAAAAGAAAGCCTCTTCAGAAAACCCCACTGCTCGAAGTCTCCAAGTAAATCCTCTCTATATGACTTCTTTATTAAAGAAAAGGAACACTGATGAGGGCCACTATCAGAGGTGGAGCACCAGATGAGCAGTCCCACAGCAGAGCAAGAAAAGCTATCATTTTAACAGGAGTAATTAGATGGAAACGGAAGCAATGACTGGCTGGCCCCTCTAATGGGCATAGCAGGCTACCACAAGAATATTGTTAAACATGTTTTTCAGGTTACAGCAGTTCTTGAAATGCCGCCTCATATAGCCATCCAAAAGAGCAGTAGAGGCAATGGGGTAATATTATGAAAGCACAGCTGAATAAGATGAGTATCAATTCACTATCTTCAATGATAGCACAAGGTCTTGGACTACTGCCAAATCTCTTAAGAGTTCATAGTTTCCCTTCTGGAGGCAGTACACTACTATTATGAATTTCATGCTTTCCTTTTCTTGAATTACCACTCTGCCTTGTCCCTCTTCCCCAGAGGAGTTCCCCAAGATAAAGCAGTTTAATTCAATTTGTTTAATTTAATGCTTGCTTTTAATTTAGTGCTTTGTTCGAGACAACCTGTATCCTTCACATAATCAAAGCAAACAGAAGAAACAGCTTCAATTTGACAAGCCAGGAGCTGACATCATCGATTAAAAATAATGACACCTGAATTGAACTTAAAGTACTTTTATCCAATTTCTTTTTATATTAGAGGGAGTTCTCCAAATCCAGCAATTCATGAGTGTGGCATATATGCAAAAAAGAGACAGACTAAGCCCAGATACGATTTGTCTAGACTGATATCTCTAATTATGAATTTACAAACTATGCTGAAATGCTCAGCAAATTACTAAAAACCAATAACAGTAATTGAACTAGCAACAAACTTTCCTTGTAATGGGACTATAGGCAGTTACAAAAGCTAAAGATTGCAGAGTGATCATTTAAACCCAAACAGGCAAACATTTTTGTTTGCCTGATGATATAAGCAGTTTTAGATTAATATTGATGCTTTATCTTACGCATCGCAATACAAAAAGCTTGCAACACATCTGAGTTACCATTGAGTTTCATGCCTCACTTTCTGAAGTGTAAAAGTTTAACACCATATTAATACAGTTTCAATAATCAAAAGCTTTTTTAATTATTATTATTTATGGTGTACTAAAGCAGCTTTGATTTAACGCTTTGTTTTTGTTCTTGTCAAGCACTTCCGTTGCACTTAATCCCATTAGAAAAACTAACTTCCTCATAATTAGACTCTTTTCTGGTTCCTCATGGTAAAAATCAGAACATTAGGACTTCCAGGCTATCAATTAATGACACTACATATTCATATCTCAATTGTTCATTCAACATCAGCCTTGACAAAAAAGGTTCTTTGACTTCAAACACTTGTTAGTAAATAGTAAGCTCATTTTGTGAAAACAAAAGATATCTAAATCCATATGAACTTCTGCCTTATGACTAATGTAGTAGGTACCACTTAGGAAGCAGTTTTGCTCCATAAATTACAAACATTTATGCACCAAACAAATTTGCCAACTAGATATAGTAATAATATAATGTCATTAACTCTGGATAAATTATTTTCCATATTAGCTTAGCCATTCATTCCAATTCAAAGTAAGTGGTGTAATATTTAAGAATATCATAAGCTCCTCACTGATTCAGGTTAATATTAGAAGGTCATTGTTCATGACAATCTCTCTGTAGAGAGTCTGGGCTGGGAGGCAGAACACCCTTGTATTTCACATCCAAAAAGACGCAGTATGCTACTAGTCATAAATGCACAGATAGCTAGTTGACTGGCTATGAAAAGCAACATACAAATTTATGAATGGATGCAAAACTCAGTAGTTTACATATTTGAAATCATGTTTGATTTTTCAGTGCCTGCCTCTGTCAGAACAAAATCCAAACTATCTGATGTAATACCTGACTGTTTTCTCTCTCTTTAATTTGCATGTCCTTGAAATAACTTTCTACTTGCAGACTCGATTAATGTGTAAATTCAACAGCTCTCTCAAAAGACTGGAATTTATGTATCCCTAGAAAAGTTAAATAATAAAAAGAAAATTTAACAGCAAATAAAACAGCAAATCACTTGCTATATATTATCAAAAGGAGAAATTGGCAGGTATGTTACTTGTGAAAATCACTTTTATTAGTAATTAAGTTACTTCCATACTTTTTCTTGTTAAAAAAAAAATTATTACCATCTAATGGTAACACCATTACAGCAAACCAAAAGGAGCGATGGGATATACTTCTGGATAACAATATCAATTTAGGTTCCTCTGATTCTTCTTGCATCAAGGTCTGCTAAAAACAACAGAGGTCTTCTTATAATTATATACTTTCAGTTATGTTTTATGTCATCACACCTCCCTCTATTCATTCCACATTGAAGCTTAAGCAATCATTTTCCCTACTGGGACTTCAGTCATCTTCACAGTTGTTTTTCTCCATGACAATATGTTTAAAGCAGAAAATTAAAGTACAAATGAGCTAAGTTTCCCTGGGCCAGATGATCATTCAGATTTGGTCCTGGTCATATCAGAAAGCATGCTTAAAGAGCCCAAATCCTTATCACAAAGGGGAAGTGAGGTTAACATAAAATATTTAGATTCCACACTAACAGAATTCTAAAGACCTGTTGTCAAAAGAAAATCTAAGTCTACTTCTGCTGCCTGACAGCACTGCAGCTATGCTGTCCAGCATGGCCACATTTAAAAGCAGTCTCCAGAGAAATGACAAAGGTAAATACCACTTAAAGGACTAAGCTGTTAACTTAAAACATGCTAGGAATGTTTCATTAAGCCTATGAGTAATACCATCTTAGAAGGACATGCTTTTAGAGTAGAGAAACAGACTTTTAAGAACTTGCAACAAAAAAAAATTAATAAGGTTTTCTAAAAGGGTGTTTTAGTGGAACTCAGATTTTTTAAATATAATTTACAGCTAAAACTCATAAAAGTTTTTGCACAAACCACATATGAATTAATGACTTTTCAGCATTTTTTCCCCCAATTGTCACAAAATGTAAACTAACGTATTTCCCAAGGAACTCTAGACAGAACTGGAAGTTGCTTCCTTTTGCTCTCAGTGGGAGACGGGTGTATTTTTCCCATTAGAAAATGCCCTTTTTCAAAAATCAACATTCTTCTACATTTTTCCCCCAAAAGAAATAAAAACAAAGTTCTTCAAAAAAGAGCAGGTATCCTACTAAATATTTCATTTTCCTACAAGTGAAAAACAGTAAAACTCAAAATGGCAGACAGTTCAGACAAATCTATTGATATAGTCATAATATGCTTAGTCATTGCTTTCTTTTTCAAAACTTCCATTTCATATTCTTGACATTTCCGTCTGCAAGCAAGTTACTTGGTTCAAGGCACACTGAAAGATCCATTTAAAAATAGGGTTAAGTTTTTGTTGTTTTCATTTGTTGTTTTTTTTTTTTTAATTTTAAATTGTGGTGTGGATTTTTGTTTGGGGTTTTGTTTGTTTGTTTACTGTAGCTAATAAGGTAAGCACAAGTCACAATTCATCAAAACCAAGAAGAGGAAAACAAGCTGTAGCTTTCAACTCAAAATACATTGGGAACTGTGCACGTTAGGTGAACTACATATTAATGCTCGCAATATTTCACAGTCTTTGTCAATTGTATATGGTACTACCAGTGTTTACCAAGATTAATCCTGACATACAAAAGAGCACTAACGCATTGAACAGGAAAAACACTACTCTGGTAAGACCTGTGCCTGGGAAAATGAA